AAAGCAAGTAAATTAACTTTTAAATAATTGGCTTTTCCTTCCTTCTTGGAATAGTGGGCAACGTTTCTTCAGTGTTCTGAAGGGAAAGACCTTTGTTGTGATAGTCAATAAAGACAAAAAGAGAGAATTTGCTTATCAAATTATATTTGTAATGCTGTAATTGCGAACTGTAATGTTATGTTATCATGACGGACTATATCCTATTATGTTACCTCTAGATCTTAGATATCTATGTAGAAAGAGATTTCCCTAGCAACCACAGCAGAGTCTGTCAAAGAAGACATAAAACAGGGAAGACAGGGCCCCTAACAACAAAAACAGTCTGAGCAGACACAATCTGATAAGAGGAAGGAGGCGGCCAGACCTGATAAGAAGAAGACGCCAGGAAGAGCTGATAAGAAAGACAAGAAACAGGGAAGAAAGGACCCCTAGCAACAAGGACAGAGCATGCGCAGAATGAACTGGTAACAAAAAAAAAACCCAGGAGGGGACCCGGGAGCTACAAACCTATAAAAAGAAAAACTGAAACTTATTGAACTCGCGGACCGTTGGTGGGGCAGGAGACCCCGTCCGCCCAGCGCTGCTTTGCTCATTTGCCTTAAATAAAACTTTTATACAAACTTTAAAAGAGTTTTGCTCTCGTTTACCGATAACAATTTGGTTCCGTGACGCGGACCAGAGTTCCTGGGAAGTAGGATCCTCCTGGGGCGGGCGCCCCCGTCCCCGTTTGGACGGTCCTGGGGGAGTCCTGCGACACAGACTCTGAGGTTCCGACCAAAAAGATTTAGATAAGGCAAATAAGCAAATGAATCACTGCAGTTCCCTGTAATCTTTGTGCACAAAAATGCGGGTGAAGGCTCACTTAGGAGGAAAGTGAGTGGTAAATTCTCTTCATTCGGGAAGGGGTCTGTTCGGCAGGAGTCCGAACGGAGACTTACTCCAGGAGGGAGTAAGGGTTTCAGGTGCCGCCTGGTTGGGGAAAGGAACCGTTCAGCAGGGAGTTGGACGAAGGCTTACCCAGGAGAGGTAAGTATTTGCAAACCCCTTTCTCGGTTGAGAGGGAATCCCGGAGTGCAAACGACTGAGACGTCCAGTAGGACAAGGTGAGAGGGACCTCCTATTAGTGCAGTTCTTGTACCCCGAGAGGGGGCAAGTCATGAACGGAGGGAAGCAAGTGGACTGTGTGTGTGAGTGTGTGAAGGTACTTCGGAAGATGGGGTAGAAAAAAAGTAAATCTTCTGCTCCCATGGGTGGCTGTAAAACAAGTCAGGACAGTCCTAAAACTGAGGAAAAACCTAGGGAGGGGGTTGGAATAAGTGATCACAAGGGGAAGTCACAGGATACCGTGCAGGAGAGGAGAGAACCCGAGAATGAGTTAGTGGTAAGGTTACCAAGCATACCTCCACATAGTCCTTTAGGAGTTATGATTAGGTATTGGGATGATTATCCTTCTAGAGAAGGGAAATTGAGAGAAAAGATGGTGCATTATTGTATGGAAGTATGGGGGGGAAGCAAATAAGGCAGGACCGTTTGTATTGGCCAGTATACGGTTCATTTGAGGACTGGATATGTCAGGCTCTAAATCTGTATGTGAATAGTAAAGAGCCGTTTTGTGCAGAAGAAAGCGAGTATGCTAGTTTATGGATGAGACCAGATACTAGGCATTATTTGTTTCCTTTAAGATAAAAAAAGCAGAAGGAAGAATAACTGTGATCTAGAGGATTACCAGAGGTACCCTCCACCATATATCCCACCCCCTCCACAACCTGCACCCATTCCAGCACCGGCATTTCAGCCCTCTGCCCCAACTGAACCAGAATCCTTTCTATTTGAGAACGCTTCACCTCCCTCACCTTCTGATAGCAGGAGAGTAACGAGGAGCCAGAATAAGGCAAAACAAAAGATGAGAAGCCAGTTATATCCTCTAAGGGAGATTGCAATGGGGGGACAAGATGCTAGGTTAGGGTTTGTATCTGTTCCCTTAAATTCAGGGGATGTGAGAGAATTTAAGAAAGAGATGGGGAAATTGTTAGAGGACCCTATGGGAGTATCTGAAAGATTTGACCAGTTTCTAGGGCCGAATATTTACACGTGGGAAGAAATGCAAGCAATTTTGGGAATATTATTTACGGTGGAAGAACGAGGTATGATTAGAGTGGCAGGAATGAGACAGTGGGATCAGAGACATCAGCAGGGGCTGGCTGCTGACACCAAGTGGCCTCTTCAGAGACCTGACTGGAATAACCAGGAACCGGCTCATAGAGCTCACATGGCTGATTTAAGGACTATTATAGTTCAGGGTATAAGAGAAGCAGTCCCTAGGGGACAGAATATTGACAAAGTTTTTAAAGAATACCAGAGAAAAGATGAATCACCTACGGAGTGACTGGAAAGATTAAGGAAGAGCTTTCAACTTTATTCTGGCATGGATCCGCAGGAGGATATGATGGGGGGAGCTATGTTTAAGATGCAATTTGTGCAGGGAGCATGGGAGGACATTCGGAAAAAGTTGGAAAAAGTGACGACTGGCAGATAAAAGGCTTAGACGAGTTGCTAAGGGAATCTCAGAGGGTATATGTACGAAGAGATGAAGAAAGGGAAGAGGAAAGGCAAAGGAGAGAAGAGGAAATGCAAAAAAGACAGGAGGAGAGACAGGAGGAATTACAGAAAAGACAGGAGGAGAAACAGGAGGAATTACAGAAAAGACAAGAAGAAATGCAGAAGAAGCAGGTGGAAATGCAAAGAAGACAGACCAAGGTTTTAGTGGCAGCTATACGAGAAGGACAGAGGGGAGACAGAAATCAAAGACGAAAGATCCCTCGTGGATTTGTTAGACATGAACTACCCAAGGAACGTGGTCGACCAGATTTAAGTGAGGTAGAATGTTATTACTGTGGACAGAGAGGACATGTGCAGAGAAATTGCAGAAAAAGGCAACAGGATGACCGAATTTATCAGGAAGATTGAAGGGGTCAGGGATTCTACCTGCTGGGGACCCAAAAGAAAACAGAGCCCTTGATAAAACTTAAATTGGGTCCTCAGCAACAAGAATTTGAGTTCCTAGTGGACTCGGGGGCAGAAAAATCAACCGTACAAAAACTACCTCGGGGCTGTATGACCTCCCCAGACACAGTCCTAGTAGTAGGGGCTAAAGGGGAACCTTTTAAAGTACCCCTTATCAAAGATGTGGAAATAGAAACCCAAAATAAATATGCATTAGGAACATTTTTGTTAGTTCCTGAGGCTGAATATAATCTATTAGGGAGAGATTTAATAATAGAACTGGGGATTAATTTAGAAGTAAAAGAGCAGGAAATACAAGCTAAAATATACTCCCTTATGTCAGAGGATGAAAAGAGGATAAATCCTGAGGTGTGGTATACCCCTGATTCTGTGGGAAAGTTAGATATAAAACCGTTTGAGGTTTACATCTGGAATTCAGAGGAGCCAATAAGGGTAAAGCAATATCCTATCCCTCACAAAGGAAGAGTCGGACTTAAGCCTATTATAGAACGACTCTTAACGCAGGGACTGTTAGAACCATGTATGTCACCTCATAATACCCCCATTTTGCCAGTAAAGAAATCTGATGGGTCCTACCGATTGGTGCAGGACTTAAGAGAGGTGAATAAACGAACAGTTACCCGGTTTCCAGTGGTGGCAAACCCATACACTTTATTAAACCAACTTTCCCCTGAATACAAATGGTACAGCGTCATTGATCTGAAGGATGCTTTTTGAGCATGTCCTCTTAAAGAAGACAGTAGGGATTATTTTGCCTTTGAATGGGAGGACCCTGATTCTCATAGGAAACAGCAGTTTAGGTAGACTGTCCTACCTCAGGGATTTGCAGAGTCCCCTAATTTATTTGGGCAAGCTTTGGAGCATTTATTAGAATCTTTTGAACCCCGTAAGGGCAGCGTCTTAATTCAATATGTAGACGATTTGTTAATTGCTGGGGAAAAGTCAGAAGTTGTCAGGGACGAAAGTATTAGGCTCCTGAATTTTCTGAGTTTAAAAGCCTTGAAAGTATCAAAGTCTAAGCTACAATTTACAGAAGAAGAAGTTAAATATTTGGGACACTGGTTGAGTAAGGGACATAAAAGATTAGACCCTGATCGAGTGAATGGGATTTTGTCACTGCCTATGCCCAAAACAAAAAGACAGATTAGGCAGCTTTTGGGATTATTTGGGTACTGCCGACAATGGATTGAAAATTACAGTACTAAGGTTAAGTTCTTATATGAAAAATTGGCAAAAGACGGGCTAGTGAAGCAGAGTGACAAAGATGACAAACAATTAGAAAAATTGAAGGAAGATTTGGTAAATGCACCTGTGTTAAGTTTGCCAGATAATCGAAAACCTTTTTATCTATTTGTAAATACTGAAAATGGTACGGCATATGGAGTCCCAACTCAGACTTGGGCTGGGCAGAGAAAACCAGTTGGATATTATTCAAAATTATTAGATCCAGTCAGCAGGGGGTGGTCAACCTGCCTGCAAGCTATCATGGCTATGGTTTTGTTAGTCAAAGAAGCTACAAAAGTGACCTTTGGAGGAGAATTGAGAGTTTTTACCCCTCACAATATAAGGGGAGTATTGCAACAGAGAGCTGAGAAATGGCTGACAGATAGCCGGCTGTTAAAATATGGAAGCATCTTATTACATTCACCAAAATTAGAACTAGAAGTGACAAATCTACAAAATCCAACCCATTTCTTATATGGGGAGCCCAAAGGAGACCTGGTACATGATTGCCTACAAGTAATAAATTTTCAGACAAAAATTAGGGAAGATTTAGAAGAAGAAAAACTGAGTGAAGGAGAGAAATTATACATAGACGGTTCATCTAGGGTAGTTAATGGGAACCAAAAGTCAGGATATGCAGTAATAGACGAACAGACTTTTCAAGTCAGAGAGTCTGGGCCCTTAGACAAGACGTGGTCAGCTCAGGCTTGTGAGTTATATGCACTGTTGAGAGCTTTACGGCTATTAGACAGAAAAGCAGGCACTATATTCACAGATTCAAAGTATGTGTTTGGGGTGGTTCATACTTTCGGCAAAATATGGGAAGAAAGAAGATTGATCAATACACAAGGTAAGGCACTCATTCATGAGACTTTGATTTGAGAAATTCTAAAGACTCTGAGAAAACCAAAACAGATTGCAGTTGTATATATTAAGGGACATCAGAAAGGATTAAAGGTTACTGTTAGAGGTAATAACTTAGCAGATGAAGAAGCAAAAAGGGCGGCTTTATTAGTAATAGCTAGTTCAGAACAGGGGGACATAGGCATTCCGAAAAGCTTTAGCGAACAAGAAAAGGAAAAACTGCGACAGTCTGGAGCGAAAGAAGAAAATAATAAGTGATTATTACCAGATGGACGGGAAGTTCTTCCAAAAGGTCTGGCCCAGAGAATAATGAGAAAATTACATGAGCAGACACACTGGGGGACACAAGCTTTAGTGGATCAATTTGAAAACAAGTTTGTCTGTGTGGGAGCTTATGGTATAGCAAAAAGAACTCTTGAAGGGTGTTTAACCTGTCAAAGGGTAAATAAACGACAATTAAGAAAACGAGTACAAGGGGGGCGAGAATTAGCTAAAAGACCTTTTGAGAAAGTACAGACAGATTTTACTGAGCTACCTAAAGTAGGAAGATACCGCCACCTACTGGTGTTAGTAGATCATCTCACCCACTTTGTAGAAGCTTTTCCCGTGGCAAGGTGCACCACCAAAACCGTGATTAAGATTTTATTAGAAGAAATTATTCCACGGTACGGTGCTGTGGCAGTGGTGGACTCGGATAGGGGACCACACTTTACCTCTAAAATAATCAAAGAAACAACAGAGCTTTTTGGAACCAAGTGGGAATATCATACTCCTTGGCATCCACAAAGTTCTGGTAAAGTGGAAAGAATGATCAGTGAAATAAAGAAACAATTGACTAAATTAATGATAGAAACTAAAATGAATTGGGTAAAGTGTTTGCCATTGGCCTTATTATATATTCGGACCCAACCATGTACTGATACTGGAATGTCACCATTTGAAATGATGTATGGAATGCCATATGATTTTGGAATCCCAATAGAGAATCCAAAGGTGGAAGATACCCTCTTAAGGGAGTATATAATTGAGTTAATGAAAAGGAGACAGCAATTGAGGAAGAAAGGATTAGTAACTCAGAGACCCCCTTTGGATATGGCAATACACAAAATTCAACCTGGAGACAGAGTGTTAATTAAGACATGGAAAGAAACCTCCTTAAATCCTAGTTGGGAGGGACCTTTTGTCATTCTTCTCACTACAGATACAGTCATTCGTACCGCTGAAAGAGGATGGACTCACGCATCTCGTGTTAAAGGACCAGTCAACACTCCTGAATGGACTGTAACCTCTCAACCCGGAAATCTCCGAATGACGTTCAGAAAAGCAGGACTGGTAAATGAATCGCTTTGAGCGGGACGTAAAACCCAGCCTATACTCCTGGTTTGAAGTACCTTCAGACCTAACTCTAATAAGAGTTTGGTATAGCCGTTAGCTGAGTGGACCAATCCCTTACCAGACCGGGGGAAGTGGATTGTATCAAATTGCTGAAAAAGGGAAAACTTTTCCTTTTTGTTGTGAATTTGAAACTGAAATTACACTACCAGAAAGACCTGTACGAAAAATTCCCTGTATAAAACACCCAGGCTCAGGGCATGAAGGTTGGGTCAGTTGTAAATGTATATTATGTGGTATAGAGTAGTATTGTGTAACAAGTAGATGGAATACCCATTGTATGAAATGTCAAGATTTCTTTATTGCTTCTGATGAGCAACTGAGTGTTCTCAAAATTGACAAGTTATTCTGCGGATGGGAATGGTTGGTACCAGAAAACTGGGAGGTCTATAAAAAGGATTGGTACAAAACTTTAGAACAGTGTGCCATTAAATTTGCCTGGAAAACAAATCTAAAGACCAACCAACTTTTAGAAATACTAGAAGAGCATATGAAACAAACGAGTCTTGGGAAATAGAGGGAAGAACCGGAAAGTTGTAAGAGTACCAAAAACCCATACTCTCCTGAAGAATATTGACTGCTGCTGAGAAGATAATGCAAACCTCGTTGCTCCCTGCAAAGGAGTAGACGAAGGAGGCAGAGCAATAATACGGTGGAGAACAGATATGGGAAATTATATATGGATTGTAGTGTTTTTGTGGCAGCTTCCCCAAAGCAGGGAAAGTCCACATCAACCATACAACTGGACCTTGACCAGAGGGGGCGATCTGAAAATAATTAAGAGTAATCTTACAGCAGGACCTCCCAGTTTCTCTGCTACACTGTGTCAACTAGCACCTTTATCACGTTGCTTAAATTTGAAACCATACTATCTTTGTCCCGCATCTAATCCAGGGAAGGGGTACTGTAATTTCCCTAATGAATATTACTGTGCGTACTGGGACTGCACCACAATTGCTTCTGCCTGGACCCCTACTTCCCAAGATAAATGTCTAACAACAACATGGGGACCACCCGGCTGTAAACCTTCACAAATTGTTTTGTCTGGAGGATTTAGGAGGTATAGCAATTGTAGTTATATAACCCTCCAAGTAATGCAACCAGAGGACCCAGGATGATTAATAGGAAAAACTTGGGGAATCAGATACTGGGAACCTGGAACTGACAGGGGAGGGTTGATAGTGATAAAAAAACAAGAAATAACCCAATGCACTCTAGCAATAGGACCCAATAAAATCATAAAAAAGAAAGAGAATAGCTTAAACCAGAAGGAGAGTGGGAAAAGAAAGACTTTCAAAGACTCAACCATCCCAACTGTTAACTTTAACAACTCTAGTGTAACCTTAACCTACACCAAGGAATATGAGAAAACAGAACCATTACTACGATTAATGCAAGCAACCTACTATACACTTAACCACACTGACTCTAACATGACTAATTCCTGTTAGTTGTGCTATGATATCAAACCCCCATTTTATGAAGGGATAACTTTGAACACCTCATTTAAAACATCCAATCAGAGCGACCCTACACAATGTAATTGGGAAGAGAAAAAAGTAAGAATCACTCTCCAGCAGGTGAGAGGACAGGGAGTGTGTATAGGGAATATACCTACAACCAAGAAGGACTTATGCAGCTATACCATAAAGAAACTAGATAAAACAAAGAAATGGGCTATACCTAGTGGGAAAGGATGGTGGATATGCTCAAGGACGGGCGTAACTCCCTGCATATCTTTACAAATATTTGACGAAAGTAAAGAATTCTGTGTACAAATAACGGTAATACCCCGAATACTTTATCATTCGAGGGAATCGATTCTAGACCATTGGGATGATAATAAACACAGGATACAAAAAAGAGAACCACTTACGACCATAACTATTGCCATGCTCCTTAGTCTGGGAGCAGCGGGGGTGACCACGGGAATTGCATCCTATGTTGAGCAAAATAAAGGGATAACATCTCTAAGAGCAGCAGTTGATGAAGACTTAGAGAGAATCGAAAAATCGATATCATACTTAGAGAAGTCCCTCACTTCACTTTCTGAAGTAATTTTGCAAAATAGAAGAGGATTAGATTTAATATTCTTACAACAAGGGGGCCTATGTGTTGCATTAGAGGAGGAATGTTGTTTTTATGCAGATCATTCAGAAGTAGTGCGTGAATCTATGCCTAATTATGTGAAGGAATTCTTCAAAGAGAAAGGGAAAAAGAAACTCGACAGAGCTGGTTTGAATCATGGATTAACCAATCACCTTGGTTAACTACTTTAATTTCTACCCTAATAGGCCCTCTAATAACACTAATAATTATTTTGAAATTTGGTCCCTGTATTCTAAATAAAATTGTGACTTTTATTAAAAGTAGAGTTGAAACGGTACAACTTATGGTAATGAAACAACAATATCTGTAATTGAATGAAGAGACACCTAAAGCAGAACAACCTCCTACCTTAATTACAGCTCAGGAAACCGTAATGAAGTTCGATAAGCAAATTACTAATGAATAAGGAAAGGGGAGGATTGTGATAGTCAATAAAGACAAAAAGAGATAATTTGCTTATCAAATTATATTTGTAATGCTGTAATTGCGAACTGTAATGTTATGTTATCATGACGGACTATATCCTATTATGTTACCTCTAGATCTTAGATATCTATGTAGAAAGAGATTTCCCTAGCAACCACAGCAGAGTCTGTCAAAGAAGACATAAAACAGGGAAGACAGGGCCCCTAACAACAAAAACAGTCTGAGCAGACACAATCTGATAAGAGGAAGGAGGTGGCCAGACCTGATAAGAAGAAGACGCCAGGAAGAGCTGATAAGAAAGACAAGAAACAGGGAAGAAAGGACCCCTAGCAACAAGGACAGAGCATGCGCAGAATGAACTGGTAACAAAAAAAAACCCCAGGAGGGGACCCGGGAGCTACAAACCTATAAAAAGAAAAACTGAAACTTATTGAACTCGCAGACCGTTGGTGGGGCAGGAGACCCCGTCCGCCCAGCGCTGCTTTGCTCATTTGCCTTAAATAAAACTTTTATACAAACTTTAAAAGAGTTTTACTCTCGTTTACCGATAACATTTGCAGTATATCTTTAATTTCGTGGTTATATATTTAGTTTCCTGCTGAGATAATATTAATTATAATTTTGGAAAAAGAGAGAAAACAAAACAAAATCTTTAATTTGATTCAGAGTGCAAGAAATGTATGGTCTGTATTGAAAAGACCTGAGATGCACCTGGTGTCATAGTTAGTATGACTTACAATACCTCTAATAAGCCTTCAGGTTGTGATAGTCAATAAAGACAAAAAGAGATAATTTGCTTATCAAATTACATTTGTAATACTGTAATTGCAAACTGTAATGTTATGTTATCATGACGAGTTATATTCTATTATGTTACCTGTAGATCTTAGATATATGTAGAAAGAGATTTCCCTAGCAGCAAGAGCAGAGTCTGTGCAGACAGAGTTGACAAGGAAGACACGAAACAGGGAAGAAGAGACCCCCTAGCAACAAGAGACAGAGCTGATAAGAAGAAGATGGCAGACAGAGCTGATAAGAAAGAAACGAAACAGGGAAGAAGGG